TAGTCTGTCTGAGATCATTCCTGGTCAGGGAATCCCAACAGGAATGTTTTAACTTTGTTCTGTTTTAATATTGTTGTACCCCACCCCGATTGCCACGCAGAGGGGCGAGCTATAAATAAAAATTTATTATTATTATTATTATTATTACTATTATTATTACTTAAGTCTACTCCTTCAGACAAAAGTAAAAAGAATCAGTTTTTGATGAGTTTCCGTTCGGATTAACCTCATTTTAACTCCATTTTAACAGCAACGTTATCTAAAAATTTAACCGCATTTGCGTTTTGTTTTTTTTTCCAATTTAAAGCCCCGTTTCTGCATGGGAATCCCTTGTGTGATAAACTCCACTGTTTGTTTGGTGGGCTTTTGTGGTTTGGGAGTGAGGGGGCATTGCATTCCCTATTACCATGTATGGATGTGAGAGCTGGACAGTTAAGAAAGATGATAGGAAGAATATTAATGTGTTTGAGATAATGTGGTGCTGGAGAAGAGTGCTGAGGATCCCATGGACAGCCAAAAGGACAAACAAGTGGGTCCTAGAGCAGATCAAACCAGAAACCTCCCTGGGAGCCAAAATGACCCAACTGAGACTGTCGTATTTTGGACACATCATGAGAAAAGAGGACTCTTTGGAAAAAATAATGTTGGGGAAGATGGAGGTAGGTAGGAAGAGAGGAAGGCCACATGCCAGATGGATGGACTCTATTAAGGAGGTCACTGGTATCACTTTGCAGGGCTGCCAACAACAACAACAACAACATCTCCTTCATAGAGCCTTATCAATTTCTCCCTGTTCTGCCTCTGTGCTTGGTGCATATACTTGAATTATAGTGATATTCCTAGGTTTAGCCTTACAAGTGAAAGCTTGCAACAAGTACTGTATCTTGTGCCTTTGGGATGGCCCATAAAGGCACCACTGTTTGTGTGGTGGGCTCCTGGGGTTGGGTTGGGAGTGAGGGTCTGCAGTAACCCAGGGGTAGGCAACCTTTCCCCTTTAAGGGCCGAGAGACTTCAGCTCCCAGAATCCCAGGAGCTATTGGCTAACATGGGACTATTGGCCAACATGGCTGAGGCTTCTGGGAGCTGAAGTCCCTCGGCCCTTAAAGGGGAAAGGTTGCCTACCCCTGCTGCGCCGCTACCAGGCCTCCCTCCCTCCCTCCCTCCCTCCCTCAGAGGCGCGGGCCAAAAGGGCGGCCTTCTTCCTCTCCTCAGGGGCCCTCAGAGGCCGCCCAGGAGGCAGGGCCTGGACACGCTCTTCGCCTTCGGGGGCGGTAGTAGTGGCGGGCTTCCCGCTCCTCTCCTTCCCGCTCTGGGGCTGCTGAGGGGGACCAGGCGGGAAGGGGAAGGCCCTCCTTCTCCTTCTCCTCCTCCTCCTCCTCCTCCTCCGGCCATCTCCCTCAGCTGAGGGCTTCCCTTGTGGGCGGCTGAGGGAAGGCAAAATCTGGGGCTGCCTCCTCACCGCCGCCGCCTTGGGGTGAGTCACTGAGGCGAGGAGGAGGAGGAGGGAGAGACGGGAGCGGCCTCTCCGCCTCTTTCTCCCTGCCTTTCCTCCTTCTTCCCGGACTGAGGAGCCGCCCTTTCGGGGACCAGGACCCCTCCGACCCTCATGGAGCCAGAGCCGGAGGGACTGGGACTGGGACTGGGACTGGGACTGGGAGCCCCCTCGGCCAAGGCCGCCTCCGCCGCCGCCGCCTCCTCCTCCGCCGCCACCTGAAAGCCATGCATGATCCAGGACACGACGAAGGCGAAGGGAAGAGGAGAGGAAAAGAGAGGAGACTGTGGGAGCCCAGGAGCCTCGAGGGCCGGCCCTTGCCTTCCGAGGTAAAGCACCGTCCTTTCTGGAGCTGGGATCCGCACCGCAGAAATAATATCCCGGTTCCACACCGCTCCAGCCTGCTGCCATGGAGTGTATATAAGATATAGCTGGGGTTTGGAAGTAAAGGGGGTTGCAGGCTGCCAGAAATAGTGCAAATTGAGTCCACTTTTAGGGTTAGGGTTAGGGCTAGGGAATCATGGGAACTCTATTTTAGTGTGGCACCAGAGCTCTCTGACAGAGAAGGCTCAATGTCTCAGAAAACAACAACAACAATTCCCATGATTCCCTAGCACTAACCCTAACCCTAAAAGTGGACTCAATTCGCACTATTTCTGGCAGTCTGCAACCCCCCTAAGTTTCGTCAGGCATTGAGTTTTCTCTGTCACAGAAGCAGGAGGAGCCCGTGTCGTGGCTCCAAGGCGCTTGAAGCGGGCTCGAACCGGGTTATCTCTGCGGTGGGGACGCAACTCGAGGCGCCCAGGAAACTGGCTGGTTGGTTGGTGGCGGGGTTTGTTTGTTTGTTTTCTTCCCCCCCCCCC